TTCGAACTGGAAACCTTTGACAAAGGAAGATGGTATTCAGCACTACAGTGATAAAACTGTTCTTTTGAATCTGAATTTTTTTTCACATTCTAACTTTGGGATGTTAAAGTAATCATTTTAATCAAATTTATGTTTTTAAAAGGGAGTCTGGGACTTAATTCTTAATACAACTGAATACCAGTTAGCAAGACTCCTGTTCTCCGTTAATATATCTTCAGACACTTTATCAAATACACAATGAACTTGTCCTGACTGCAGTTTCTATCAAAACCATCAATACTTCTTAAAATATAAATCACAGAATCATAAAACAGAATCCGATATTTACTCATATGTACGAGGGTTGTCCCAAAAAGTCGTAGACAAAGAACACAGTTTAGTTACTCTCTGCTAAATTAAATTTCTTCCCTTGTCATAGCAAAAAGTAACATTTTATGATCATGCTTTTCAAGTTTCATGATGATATCACATTTAATTAGAAAATTTTGTTCGTGCGCCGACAGACCTTATCGGCCTTCATATAAATCGTCCTAATATTACTAATATGAAATATATATATATTTAAGAATTCACAATCTTAAAGAACATTGAGTATATTGTCTATGCAAAATTTGGTTAGTGTTGGTTGCATGTTTAAAAAGTTACAAACATTGTCTACGACTTTTTGGGACAACCCTCGTATATGTACTTTGTTCTTTCAAATGTGCTCTAATCAAGAGAATTTGTTGTACAGTACACTAAGTACGAGGTGTATCATATATATGCAACCGTGGATAAGTCCTGTGAATATGGTGTCTTCTAGCTATTCCCACTTTTTGAATATCTCAATTCCACCTATTCCCACTTGCAAATAACACTAGATGTTTAGATTTACCTGTATTTTGTACATTTAAAGACAGAAAATAATGATTACATCTATGAGAAAATATGATTTATTTTGGATTTTTGAAATAATAAAAAGATCTTACAAGAAATAGCAACTTAGTACCTAAATTTAAGAACATAGTTAATTATTTGTTTACACAAAACTCCCACCTACTCCCACACGAAATTTCACCTTTTTCTGCCTGATTTTCAGAAAGTGGGAATAGCTTGCATAAACCGTGAATATCATTTAGTTGAAATTGCTAGTAAAATAAGAGGCCCATGGTCCTTATAGGTCACCTGAGTATCATGTAACAACTCTCCAACAAATGAATTTGGTTCGTGTTTTAAACCAAAGGCCATGAAATTCACAATTTTGAAAGAGGCACCATTGCCCAACTATACACTTGACATGACAGAGCAGAGAAAGAAAATGTGCATTTTCAGTCACTATATAATCAGTAGTGCCCCAACCCACAGGAACCCCTGACCCTGGGGTCACAAATTTCATAATTTTAGAAAAGACACTCATGCTCATCATAAATGTTTGAACAATACTAACAAAAAGCAGATTTTAAAGCATTAATTTATTTTCAGTATATAATCATTAGAGTCCCCCACCCCAGACATTCCTGCCTGAGGGCCTTGAAATTCACAATTCTGGAAGAAGCACCCTAAAATGCTTGCTCATCATAACTATGTACTTAGATGATCAGTCTAATATCCAATTACGAAGGAGATTTTCAAAAATTTAATGCATTTTCACTATACTCATATAATCAAAGGAGCCCCGCCCAAACACCTAAACCCCTAACCCAGAGGCCATGAAATTCACAATTTTGGAAAAGGCAACCTTCCTAATCATAACTACTACATAGTTCATTGGCATAATACCCAGGAGCAGAGGAGATGATTTTACAAGAATTAATGCATTTTCACTATTTTATCATTAGAACCCCGACTTGACACCAGAATTCCCGACCCAGGAACCATGAAATTCACAATTTTGGTAGACGCAACCTTCCTCATCATAACTATGCAGTAGTTTGTTTTCGTAATACCCAGAAACAGAGTAGAAAATTTTCAAAGAAATACTGCATTTTCAATACATGATCATTAGAGCCCTACCCTAACACCATAACCCCTGACACTGGGGCAAAAAACCACCCCTCAGGCTCCAGGGGGAGGGGGGGGTAGGGGTCATGAAATTCATAATTTTTGTTCCCCTTCACCCATAGATGCTTTATGCCGGAATTGGTTGAAATTGGTTGAATAGTTTCAGAGAAGAAGCTGAAAATGTTCAAATGTTAACACACGACGCACAATGGAAGACGATGGGGGGAAACGGATAGCAATAGGTCAGGTGACCTAATAAAATGTCCGATAAATGACAAAATAACATATGAAGGAAAAAGTAATTCTGCATTCATTGCATTTCTGAAAGAAAACAATATTAAGTAAAGTTTTAAAAAATAATATTTAATTAGGTATTTTTTTGGAATATCAATGTTTTACAATAATAAATACACAAGATTACAATAAATAAATATGAAGACACATCAATAGGAAAAAATTGTTTAAAAAATTGATTGAAAAAACTTTTTTAAAGGCTACAACAGTAATTTGTTCAAAATGGTCGCGACATGTAAAGCAATAAGCTAGCCTACTCTACAAATATTAATTATCCTACATATGCTGCACTTACATGTGAAATTTGATTTGTCAACACATTTATAAATACTTGTCGTTTTCCCCCTCAGACTTTGATTCTTTACATTATTTAGCATTCATTTAGATTATAACAAAGTGTAATTTTTTTTAAATTTTATTACACTGTACATTAATTTAATCCAAGTTTCTCCTTAATATTATCCATCAATAATTGGATTTCAACATTACAGAAAAACACTTTTTTAAAATTTGTTTTCACTTTTTACAGTCCGTAGCATTTACAAGTATTAGTAATCTATTAGTATAAAAATTTATAATATGACATTAAATCTTTTTATTAATACTTGTTTCATTAAAATACAATAACTACGCTCATATGATCTTTCAGACAATGTCACATAAATTCTTAGAATTCTTAGAAAGTTTTCTTATATTAGCATGTGGACACCACAAAATACAATATTAGAAAGAGAATTTAAAATCAAACATATACATTTTAAGCCAATATAGCAAGATACATGTACCCTCCATCCAAATATCTTTTCTGCTTAAGACCTATACATAAATATCACATCTCACTGTAGAGAAAACAATTTTTCTTTAAATATTTTTTTTTTTAACTATAGAAGATGAAAAAATCTTTACGAGTTACCTTTCCCATGAATTATTTTGCTCTAATATAAAATAAGACATACAACTAACATGCTATATATAATGAAATAATTGTTGGTTTAAATTACTTCCAAAATATGAAAGTAGAATATAAAAGAAAAGATTGTCTATATTTAAAGATTGTTAATTCCAGAGTATTAAATTTTCTATACATGGCAATATCAATAACAATACTTCTTATTTGAAAACCTATGGGAAACAAAACACTGTGTAAAATTTGGTGTTCAGAAAAGAAGTAAACTGTACTTTTTCAAGTTCATATTATTAATAAAGATTTAATGTTAAAAAAAAAGTATAGTTCTTTTTTTTTTTATAAAATTGAACCAGCCCCTATATAAGTGCTTTGAATATGACAATACATAAAAAACAAAGACATCTTTATCTTAAGTTACCAACTGAATTTTAAAGATCATTCATTTTAGCTTTAACAAAAAAGTCAAAAAACAAACAATATTGCACACTATCATATAACAGGAACACTCTGTTAAAACAAATTTGTCCAAAACATAATATTCAAGAAAAGGGGGATTCCTTTGAAAAATAACTTTTAGACATATGTGACTTTACACAATATATTGTATGGTCAAGAAAAAAACCCATACAATTTAAAGTTGAACTCTCAATCTAATAAACAAATTATATCTGTGCATCACAGCTCTTGAGACAAAATTATATATATATATATACTGTATACTGGGCTATTTTTGCCTAGTGTTATTTTCACAATTGCAAACAATCTGGCCCCATTTTAAATTTGCCCAGTCATAATTCTAAGAAATCATACTGTGTTTTCTTTTTTAATTCACCGTTTTAGTTCGCCTACCTTTGGGCAAAAGGAGCAAAAATAAAACTGAGGTGAAAATTTCCCTGTATACAGTACTATTAGCTAGCATTAAATATCACAATTCTCAGTTATGCTTGGACTTTCAGTAAGGCATGGCATTCTTGATGTTACATAAGTAGCATCTGAAATTTAAAGTATTTTCCTCAATGTTGAATATATACATAGGATAAAATTCCGCTGAATGTCAATGAGTGTAGCAAATAGCCAATAACAAATTCACGCACCGCACAATGGTGAGGATTAAGTTGTCTCATCGTTGTGAACAAGTTCCCGATGTTATATATTTCTTAATCAATGAGAATCTATTCACCATTTGACAGATGCTAATTATGTAGCGCCGAGAATGCCACGCCTTACTGAAAGTCCAAGCTTAACTGAGAATTTTTCTAGATGATCTACATACACAAAATAACAGAAGCAAATACCAGTAACTTCCCCTTACTTTAACCATTCTCTGTTGTCATATAAATACAGCTGTAATGACAGTCTGTGGTCAAGGTTAAGAGATAAGTAAGTCACTGGTGCCAGTCCATGGCCTAATTAATTCTCATGATTGACATGATAAGAGAGAGAGAGAAAATTTCAACAAGTGTAAAATGCCATGACAACAACAACTAACAAGGAATGTATTAACAACTACGGGGTCGTAGTTAAAATAGTATTATACGCCATGCTGCAACAACATTTATACAGCTCTGCACAAAATTTTGTTCTCTCAGTCTATAGATTCCACAACATCTGCTGCACCTTCATCAAGAAGTGCTTAATAAAAAATGCCAAACACAATGGGCAGTGCCTTAAGGTATTCAGGCCACTTGTTTGGTAATTATTAAAATAGACAACAACAAAATGTAACTTGGAAAAAAAAATGGTACTCTTACTTCCTAAGATCTGTGCAATTTTTTCTATTGGTTGACAATACATGTAATAATTTAAATCTATTCCATTTGCAAAGTTTAAAATCATACAGTGTATTATTTTCTGTTAGTATTTTAAAGTTATTTTGATCTTTTTTTTTGACAGAAGACCCTAAAGTTCCACCTACCCTATCCTATATTTCAAAGAATATAAATATAAGTAACAAAACTTGGTAACAATAAATATAAAATTGAGACACAATCTACAAGTTTGACAGAGATTCAAAACTGCTATCACTCCAGGCCATTTCCTGCCCTAAATATGTGTCGCTGTCATTTCAACGCTTCAAACTGAAACGCTTGTAGATCCAGTACAAAACACACATGCGCTTCGACTTGAGTCTCCCCATATGTTGTCATGGAGATACAAACAATTCGACCAATGGTGGCCAGTTTAGGACTTTGTCTCCGCATGGTGACTATGGTCTTCTTTGTTCATGGCTAGCTTTTTCATCTGTCTTATCACGGCTGTGGCATTGTATGCTTGCTGTAATTAAAGAAAAATCATATCCAAAAATTAATAAAAATGATCACAGGATGAAGTTTTTTAATTAAATCACAATCAATACCAAGTGGCATCACAAATAATTCCAGCCATATAAATGATATTAAAATTATTAGAGGGTAAACATTTAAATAATGTTTGAAACTTAAACCTCTTGTACCTGTACAAATTTTACACATGAAACTACTGGTTGTGACATATCTGATTTTCCATACTTTTCTTAACCATTTGACCAAAGGTTACAAAAGGTAGTACAGAATAAGGTACTGTAAACCAGCTTTTATTCACGACGACTTTATTTCGCCAATTACCAGGAGGAAACTCGTTCCCAAACGATTATTTTTTGCGATCAAGATTTTTTTTTTATCTGTTGCTAATAGACACATGCAGACACTTTAAGGACCACTTCATGGCAAGAAATATTCACGATGAAGAGGCTCTAGTGAACCTGATATTAGCCCTCTTATGGATGCAGCTGGCCTCACTTTAGAATCAATAAGAAAGTGTTTATCTGCATGTGACTTTTTACCTTCCACTTCGTTTTTGCGAAATTCTTCCTCATCTGTTCACTGACAGAAGCATGGATATCCTTCTCTAATGCAGTGTTACCAGAAATCCTATTTTAAAGAAAATGAACCAATTTTAAAATACCTGGAAGCTAGTTTAAATAATTTTTAATTTATGCTTAACCCATGATAAAAATTGAAACTTTTCATTAAAAAAAATTACACTCAAACCTAATAATCTAGACTTCAATGGGACCAAGAAAAAAACTTTCAATTGAGATATCCTAGGATTTAAGATATTGAGGGTAAAATACTAAAGGAATAAGGGGCTGGGACTTCAAAAATCACTTTGACATAACCATGGTATTCAGGGTATCAATGTTCAAAATATTATGATTTTTTACTGACATGGCAACTTGTGTGTCTCTGAAAGCTAAAGTGGAAATTGTAATGGTTTAATATGCATTTATTGCTATTCTATTAAATGGATGCAATTTATCTCAATAAGACAACAAAAAGATATATGCAATCTTTTAAAAATGACACAATTCAATTACTAGAATGTGTGTAGGAATTTAATTTTCAAATGTCATTTGTGAATAAACATGATAAAAAAAAAGTTATGCAACACTCTAAAGAAATTAAAGTCTCAGATACCACAAGCACTGTATGAAAATTGACGTCTTTCAAATAAATATTTGCATTTTCTAGCACGAAAGCCATTCTTCTTAAAACTTATTTTATGCAAATTATCCTCATCAATACTGAGTTGGATTGAATAACTGACAAAAGTTTAATTAACTAATGCATGGCAGGGTCCAAAACATGCATAACTGTCAACACTGTAGTCTGGTTACCCAGAAGTCAAAATGTAATCTATGTTTTAAATCCAAATGCCATTGGTAAATGCATACATTTCTGGAAGTCTAATAAAATTTGTCATATGAATATACACAGTTACTTCAAAATCAATTCACAGTCATTCCTATGAACTTAGAACAACTCAAGTTCTTAAATTTCTTAACTGTCATGAATGTTTTCAAGTCTTTGGACAATTAAAACATTAAATAAGGTCAGTAATGAGCTCTAGATATTGGGCCCTTTTTCTTCTTTTCCTAAGATTCTTCAAAACTATCGGTAAGTCATAACTTCATAAATTACTCAGAAAACAACATTTATGTGTTGCATATCATGACATCATAATAGGCACTATATGGGAGTGATGAAACACAGCTAACAGAAACAATTTAGCGAAACATAGATGTCCAATTATATTTTTTGACATCAATGGGGTAAAATCGTTACATAGTTTTGTAGACACAGAGTACAAGATACCTGGTAAGTAAATTTCATATCTGGCTTGGCTTTGCATCGTCAGACTTAAAATTTACTAACTATAGGTATCATCTCATACCTTAACATGATGTTACTTTATTACAGTACATGTTTATTTTACAGTGTAGACTTACCATGGATAAGATAGTGCCTGTTTACATGTAAATCTCTGCTTTGGATTCTTGCACATTAAATGTCGGATAAAGTCCTTAGCTGAAAAAAAATTATGAAATATATTCTATAGATTTATTTTTTAAAAATGTATTTTATGACTTCTAGTTCATCAAAAGTATATATAAAGCTTACTTCTTCAAATGAAATATACAACTTTGACCTACTTTCAATTTATAAGTGAATGAAATTCACCCCATCTTATATTCGCCCACGTGTTTAGGGCCAAAGGGGCGAAAATTAAATGAGGGCGAAAATTTCCCTGTATAATCCCCACCTGACTCTGATATGTCGTCCCAGTAGGGCGAATCAAACTCGTACTCGGCTCGGAGAATCTGCTGGAACAAAGCTGCATCATTTTCATCATAAAACGGAGGATAACCACATAATCTGAAAGAACAATAAATGGAAAGGTGCAAGAAATCAGTCAAAATAACTTGAGATTTTATCACGGAACTAATATTGTCTTGCGTTCTGAGTGGCAACAGAACAAAATGCAATATATAAACAGCTACAATTTTTTTTACATCTGTTGATATTCCATGGTCATTTGTGACCTTAGTATTTCTTCAAATAACCTTACTCAAAGTCATTCAACATCCTCAAATTAAAATGTTTTGTTACGTGATCAAGGACATATGCTGCCATTTTGAAGTACATGTTAAGCTAATTTATATTAAAATTTAGGGCATTGTAAACTGGAAATAAAATCTTCAAAATAATTTGTCATGTTCACCTAATTTTATTGCCTGAGATGAGATAATTATATCATGTAACACCCTACTACAAAGGAAATGCATGCAAAGTCGTTTTAAGTGCCGTGTTGTTTCTTAATAGAAGATGTCTGAGTAAGATACTTAAATTTCATTTATGAGAAATCTGTCCAATTAGCTTAATTTACACCAGTAGTAACGATTCTTGATTCACATTTTTTAATATAAAATTTAAACCTTGCAGGAAAGAGGAGTGAAGCTTGATCTGCTAAATAATACTTCTTTCCCAGGGCTGTTTCCTGTGAGATAAACTCATCAGTTAGTATCTGCAGTTATACATATCTGATTAAACTTAGTTAAACTTGGTAAAATTCTTACAACAAAAAATTACAATGTAGTTCATTGGCAATCTCTTTGGGGTGAGGGTGCTATTTTTTATTATCTAAAAAATCAATACCAGTTTGAAAAAAAACATACAAAAGTAAACACTATATATTAGGGGGTTTCAAAGGAGGTAAAAGGTATCTGAAATGAATGAATAGTGAAAATTATAATTAATGTTAAAAGGACAAGATAGGGTAAGACCCCTTTTTGTTCCTTGGTTCGGGTTGTCTTAGATTTTCTCATTTTTATGTAAATTTTTATTGATTTACAGTACTTTTTGTTTCAGAAAACATAGTGCACAACTTGCCTATCTGCCAAATTTATATAATATTTCATATACTAGTACATGTACTGTATCACATGTCACTTGTATAAGAATCTCAGATAGGCAAGATCTGTGCTCTGTGTTTCCTGAAGTGAAAAGTATCTCAAATTTGATGAAATTCCATCCGAATTGAGGAAATCTAGGAAAATGTCCAAATTCTCCACACTCTTGTGCCCTCATGTAATCTATTTAAATTAAAATTAGTGCTGGTTTTAAAAAACTAGCATCATTAAATAGATTTCTTATCTACAAACTATCACAATTTAAACTGTGTTCTGATTTTTACATGAAATAAGGGCCTGCGCCAGATTCGGCCGTTACTTTGCCTTGTCCTTTCAATGTCTTGAAAATCAATATCTTAAATACAATCCCCCTATAAAACAAAATGTGTACATTCATATAAATCTTTAATATTTTTTACGGTCAACCCACATGGCTGACTATTCTTGCCCTCAACCTCAGACTTTCCCCTTTTTCTTAAGCAATTTTCCTCTTTGCTTAATTCGGGTGAATAAATCACTTCCCACAACACAATCTCGCTGTCCTACGCTCAACAACTTAATTCACAGTTTACAGGCTTTCAGAAGTGAACACACTGACTCCAAACCCATGATGGGAGGAACACAGGGGGACAATTGTTTCTCATTACCCTAATGTACAGCATTCATCAATTGGGTTTTTGTCCGCCCGTGTCAATAAATTTCTATCATCTCTGTATACTCATAATCAACTTACATCTGCCATTGTACATTTCTCAGTCTGAATGCAGCCCTGACAAGTATTGGTTTGGAATAGAAATTCCATTAGTAAGTTACACACTATTGTTTACATACTCTTTTATCTGAGGAGGAAGAAATGCTCCGGGCCATCACTTAATTCATCTATGATGAGTAAAACATTGGTACAACTCAATCTAATACAGTAAAATTCTTATATACACTGAGTAGTGAACGGACTTATAAGGAAACCCTAGTTTTAAGAATTTTGTGAAGACTTTTGGCTGCTTTATTTATAAATTTGAAGAGTCTCCGCATTTTGAAACAAAATTAAGTTTGAGCTTGGCGACTTACAACTGATTTTTCCCCTATACATTTACAAGTACTATAGATAAATTGAATTAAGCCAATACCTTTACAAGTAACAAAGATATGGCATTAAGCATTATACTTTTACAATATGTAATAGATACACTGACCTTTGCTCTATAATACCTACCTTTACTGTTAACAGATAAACTGATCTAGAATGCGTTATTACCTTTACATGTACCATACACTCTGCAGGCACATGGTTTATATTGTAATATTTTTTGAAAGGGGGTGGTATTTGAGGGGGCGGGGGGCGGCATGCCTGCTTACTTGTGCATCAGTACTTACAATATGTATGATATTACACCTATGGACCAACAGTCAACTTCTTTTCCATATGGTTGCTGGGCTAAAACTTCAGGTGCTGCAAAACGATATATCATAATATTAATTAGATTTTTCTTTCAGGTGTGGCTTATAAAACAGAATTCTCTCTTCCTTTGAATTATCTAATAATCACTGACACGATATTCTGTAAACCAGTTAAATAGGCCATCAGAGCATCATAATTTTCCCTTTAAAAATAAAGGTGTATGCATGGTTTCAAACAAGAGCATTCATCTAGACTATGAAAAAACCACTTAAGTTACTGTTGCATTTTTTTTTATAAGTTGATGATCAAACAATTTCAACAAAGAACATATTCAAAGTCTATGCAATATCATCTTCACAGATAAAATTTCAATGTATGTTCTCTATCCTTTCCTGAGACAGAAATATCTAAATCATGAATAATAAAACATACTAAATCACCAATACATGGACATGATATATATGAAACTTGGGAAGTTGTTGATTGAACATTGAACTTGGTGTCATGTAGGTAAAAATGTTGTGATTGCATGCTTAACAACAGGTCTATATACAAGAGAAAATATAAAAGTATACCAATTTTTTTTTTAACAAAAAAAAGCCTTTTTAGTCCCTTTTCTGTTTTTAAAAAATGATGTCACAACAAGCAAATTCAAAGAATTGTGGTCCCCTGCTTTTGGTGTATTTGTGGGTGAGAAGTTATTTTTTATGACACATTGTGTCTAATATGAACATCCTATCTTATTTCATTTATTAAGAAATTATCATTGAAGTTGATTTTTTTTAAATGATGAAAACCCTAATCCTGATCGTTAAAAAGTTATGGCCAAAGTTTATTTTTTAAAAGTAGGTCAACTCCAAGGTCTAGGCCAAAGGGTAAACATTGTTGATATCCAATGAAGGGTCTTATCACAAGGATTACATATGTGAAGTATGAAAGCCCTAGCCCTTACCGTTTAAAAGTTATGGTCAAGGTTAAAGTTTTTTCATAAGTACTTAAATCTTTAAGGTCAAGGTCAAAAGGTCAAAATTGTTGATACCCAATTAAAGGTCTTGCAACAAAGAATATAAATGTGAAATATGAAAGTCCTAGTATCTATCGTTCGAAAGTTGTGACCAAAGTTAAAGTTTTTTAAAAGTAATTAAAACTCCAATGTCAAGGTCAAAGGGTAAAAGTTGTTGGTATCAAATGAAAGGTCTTTTCACAAGGATCAAATATGTGAAATACGAAAGCCCTAGCCCTCACTGTTCAAAAGTTATGGTCAAGGTTAAAGTTTTTTCATAAGTACATAAATCTCAAAGGTCAAGGTCAAAAGGTCAAGGTCAGTGGTATTTAATGAAAGGACTTGTCACAAAGAATACATATCTTAAATATAAAAGTCCTAGTATCTACTGTTTAAAAGTTGTGACTAACGTTAAAGTTTTTAAAAAGTAGTTAAAACTCCAAGGTCAAGGCCAAAGGGTAAAAGTTCTTGGTATCCAATGAAAGATCTTCTCACAAGGATTACATATGTGAAGTATGAAAAGCCTTAGTCTTCACCGTTCAAAAGTTATGGTCAAGGTTAAAGTTTTTTTCATAAGTACGTAAATCTCCAAGGTCAAGGTCAAAAGGTCAAGGTTGTTGGTATCCAATGAAAGGTCTTGCCACAAAAAATACATATGTGAAATACTGTACAGCAGGAAATTAACTTGCGGAGTTAATTTTCGCTATATTCGCGGAAAAAGAAATTCCGCGAATTCAACATACAGTGAATAATTCTTAAAAAGTTTTATAAAGATAAATTGAAATTTTATCATTTTCTGTGATTAGATGTAGACTGTCTTTATGATATTATGCGAGTGTCTGGATCAATTACAAACACGTAGTTGTTGCTGTTTTAAAAGCTTATTAATTGTTTAATTCATTTCTATAGCTTACGATTAATTTTGCCATCTAGTAGAAATGCGATGTAATTATTTAATAAAACATGTTTGTTTAATTTCACCCTTGCGTATCACTCAGTCATTACCTTTAATCCAGGCATTTACTTAGTAAACAGGGTGACGGCAATTAATTAACTTCAATTATATGATTAAAAGTTCAACATTTTTACTACAGTATAATTTTTTTCTGATTTGGACCCGGAAATAAACAAAAATTAAATGCGTAGCATTATTTTGACTTCAAATCGGGATCAGTTCGGTGTTTCGTTATCATTCAATCGGGATCAAAATCGACACAATATATATAGTCTACTTTTCTGTCTGATATGCGCGATATACAGCTCATATACATTACAGACTTTCGTAATATTCTATAGAGACGGGAAATAACACTTCACACAATATATACCTACAGAAAAATGCTTGCAAGAAATTTATGGTTTTTCCTTTTCTGCGAATTCAAACGACCGCAATTTGCTGAAAATTGAACAAATCGCGATCTTTTCCGACCGCGATTTTAACCTGCTATACAGTATGAAAGTCCTAGTACCTACCATTCAAAAGTTATACCCAAAGTAAAAGTTTGGAATTTTTGTGTAAAAGTTGGTCAAACTCCAAGGTCAAGGTCAAAAGGTCAAATTTGGTGGTACCCAAAGAAAGGTCTTGTCACAAGGAATACACATGTGAAATATGAAAATCATAGCTCCACTCAATCAAAAGTTATGGGCAAGGTTTATGTTTTTGTGACGGACAGACTGAGAGACTGACGGACAGCTGGACAGACGAATGAGATTTAACGTCCCTTCGCTTTCGCGAAAGTGGGGGGACAAAAAAGCAATGCCTTTTATTTACAAAATGACGACTACTATTTTACACACAGCACTGTACATTTTTCTTTAAAGCACCTGAAAATCTCCCTATGATATGAATGGGATGGAAACCAACCAAGCCCTGACTATATAATCATAATAACACTAGTCTAGCCAGCCACCAATTATCCGACACTTTCAGGGTGAGCGGGGATGGGCAATTACTGTCAAGGAAGCATTTCTATACACACCAAAAAACCCCACAGAAAATGTGAATCTGTGGAACTAAAAACCCTGTCATTAATCTGTAAAGCTTGTCCTCGGGGGCTCGACTGTCATTTTCATCAGAAATGACTGGTATATAGTTCACTTGGTTTTCAGAAAAAAAAACACCACTGCAGCCTCCATTAAGGCTTGAAATCAATTCAGTGTGAAGTAATGGGATTTGCTAAGTAGCCCCAGATACTACATTGTGTAGAGAAAACGTTAATGTTCTGAGTTTTTTTCCCCCCTTTTTTGTGTTTGCATGTGTGTGTTTATTCTCCAGCAGTGTTGGTTAAAAGATTTTGAGATATTTAAAAATTTTGCCAAAAAAGTCACATAATAACTATTTAGTCTAAAATTCTCCCCATTAAAAGCACATATTGCATCAAAAATTAAAGGAAGCTCTTTGATATGTATAATTATATTATTTAATGCATTGTTAATGTACAAAATTGGTATTTCTTCTACTTCCTAAAATACATTTAAATTTCAGTGAAAATCGGCATTCCTTACCTACGTATCCCGGTGTGCCGCAGGCGGTCGCCATGGTTCCTGATTCTTCCATTTTTGATAAACCAAAATCACTAATCATAATTTTAGAATCAGCATCTGGACTATAATATAATAGATTTTCTGGCTGTAAAAAAAGAAATACAAATTCAGTGGGATTAATAAAATATCTTAATAATTACTATCTAAATATATATACTTTACAATGCACTATATACCAAAAATGAATCTAGCAGTGAGGCTTATTTTCAACATGTTAGCAATTAATGTGCCCATTTTACAAAATTAAACATATATATAGTCTAAAGAAATTCAATGTTACTGGAAATGTTCATCATAAATATCTTTTATTGATGCTCTTTTCATATTTTCATATTCCCAGACCATGAAAAATTTAACTTTTCTTTATTCAGTTTTTTTTTTAATATAACATGAAACTTTTATTAGTAATAATAAATTCATAATTAAATTCACCCACCCGCTCAAAAGCAGAAAATAAGATTCCATAAAGTACTTGACCTTTAATAAAGAACCTATGTTGACAATTATTTTCCTCTGCAATTTCAACAATATACTTTTAGAATTAATAAAGGGAAAATGTCAAAAAGAATCTGGGTAAATGTCACAGATAGATAAAACCATTTGAGAATCATTATGAATGGCTACAAAGAGCCAAAGTAATGAACAGCAAGTCGATACAGTACAGTTTCATAATTTTAATTCTTTATTTCCATCAACTTCCTTCGGCATTCGATCATTCTGCCTTTAAATTTGTTTTTTTTTTAAATGGAATATACGGAACATGTATGAGAAGAATTCTGAATCATTTGCTGTTACAGAATTTTAGAGGATTTTTACTGAAGGATATATGAAATCTCAAGGGCTGCAACATATTAGAAAGCATATGGTTCGGATGCCATTATCCGTTATTAATATCTCTTCTGAAACATGATTCATATGTTTCGTTCTGCCCACAAACAGAATATTATATGTACTCCAATATTGTAGATTGTAATATAGTATGCCCTATTGATAGTGGTGTTTTATATGTTCAAAGGCCATAAAGAATACAATATCAAAATAAATTCAGGATATATCGATGTTTACTTAACAATATTCATTTTAAAAATCTTATTGAATTGGGAAACATTAAACACCCTCTTCTAAAAGAATATTGACATTTTTTATCCCCAACCATACTTTAAATACTAATGAAATATTACAAGAATTGTGTGAATATGGTTTAATATAAAGCATCCTGTATCATTAAAACAAGGTTTAAGTGTAATTTGATAAAGCAGTGTAAAAATCTGGGAAAGTTCCTGAGGTATATACATTAAAACATATATACAATTTAGTATTTGGTGAAGATGAAAAAGGATTTAATTTACAAGATTTATACTGTTTGTTTAATTTACATGAAATAAAATTTTCTATTTCAGTATTGACCTGAAGTAAATGAGCATTTTTTTTTATTAAAAAAGCCTATGGGATTATTTCACCTCTCTCTAAATTAATTATCCCTAAATTTGCACCACACCACGATCAAGATTTTTCCCAAGAATATAAAGCAGTGTGTTTGGTTCTGGGAAAGTTCCTGAGGTCATTAAAACATAGGTGAAGATGCCACAAGATTCTGTGTAATTTGACCCACTATTTTCTTGTGAGGGGATCAGGATCTGACTATGGGATTATCACCTTTAAATCCCTATGCACCACACCACGATCAAGATTTAAGAATATAAAGCAGTGTCTGGGAAAGTTCCTGAGGTCATTAAAACATAGGTGAAGATGCCACAAGATTCTGTGTAATTTGACCCACTATTTTCTTGTGAGGGGATCGGGATCTGACTATGGGATTATCACCTTTAAATCCCTATGCACCACACCACGATCATGCATGTAGTCCACACCTTCTAGCACCTGTTTGATCAGGTTGCTGGCATCCTTCTCTGTGTAGCTACCTTTCTGAACTATCCTATCAAATAATTCACCCCCTGTCACTCTGGAAAAGAAATGTAAATAATCAAAATAAGAAAAATACACAAGACAGAAAGAAGGATATGTGGTCAAAATTCATATTATCTCCATAATATCTTTACTAATCAACTGCAATACCCACGCTAGTGTTGTGGTTCAAGAGTTTAAAGTTGAATATTATGCCAACACTACTACAGTTATACTTCATTATCCAGAACTGGATGGCCAATGGGGCGAAGAAAATGTTCAATATATCTTTGGATTCAAGATATGAAGAGTAAAATACTTAAAGAATAAGTAGATGTGTACCTCAAAATCATTTTAACATATCCATAGTATTTGAGACATCAGTCATGAGTGTTTGAGATTCCAAAGTCAACTGTACATATTATCATCATGATTTTTTTTTTGCCTGGTTTACAATCTAACGTATAGGTACCTGTCAGGCTGTGCACCATGTGACAGACTAACAGACAAATTTTAATCCAACTGACCAAGAACCATATGTAAACCCCCTCAATTTCTTTGCTTTTAAAGAACAAATCACAATTTACTTTTAATATATTTTTTTTAAATCTTTAAATTTATTGCCTCCATCACATTAATTAATTCAGAAACATGCCTTCTGCACCAAATTGACTTGCAATTTACGCAGAACTTACACCAAAATGAATCACTGTCCAAAAACCATTTTATCACCCCCCTCAATTTCTATGCTGTCAAAAGGAAACACAATTTACTTCCTATTGTTCCTACAGGTGGGTGTAACAGAATAAAGAATGGATGAATGGTACATTACCAGCTATATCATGTAAATTTTTTTTTCTTGGCTTGACATCAGTCAATCTCCTCTATCATTTACAGAGTTTGTTTTAATTGCCCTAGTTTTTCCCTCACTAGACATCGTTCAAGTTCTTCATGCACTTACAATTCCATGACAAGGTACACGTGAGCTTTGTCATCAAACACATCTAGCAGCTGCACAATGTTGGGATGGCTGAGTCTGCAAAAACAGAAAATTACATGTAACAGAATTAAAATAGACACCTCATGCATATTAATTCAGAATCAAAGTGAAAACATGTAATGAAACAAAACATTTTTTACAATGTTCAATGTTCATGAACTTGATCATTTCTCTTCATAATATACATTTTTTTATTGACCATTATGCTAACCATGCTAACATTTTGTAGTTATTTGTACCCTACAACTCCAGAACTGCATCATAATTTCCTACATCTAATTTCATGGTCTGTTAAAAAAATCATAACACTTTTTTACTTCTGACTTAATGAAAAAAAACTTTATGTCTGTCACCTTCCACATTCATTATAATGTGCCCACTGGGTTTGCTTTATCCAAATTTTACAATAATACCTTTTTTAATATGTAAACTATATGACTATTATATCATATTTCATTTAGCTTCTTCCATGGAAAATTGCAGAAGTCTTAGAGAACAAATTAAGCAGATGATTAAGGACTTGAATTCCCAAGTTTTTTTCATATTGAAAATAAAAAAATGCAGTTACTTATCCTTTACCATTCTCCTAAAGGCCATAAAAATCTAGACGATGACTGAGACACACCCATTCCATGATTATTAATATCATTAATAATGGGTATCAATTTATATTCTTTGTTCTTTTTTTTACCTACTATAATTATGGTGAAGAATTTCAGTATATCGATAATCAATTATATGTGGTATTTGTTTCATAAAAAAAATCATTGATCTTAAATCTGCAAGGTATTAATATTCTTGAACTTTTACACATAGTCAATATTTCCAGGAAGACCATGTATATGTATTGTATACTTTAGCCACATACCTTAGGTGCATATGATGATAGAATGTATACACTGAGGAAATTCTCTCATTTCAATCAAATAAACATTTACTTCTACTTAACACTTCAAACAGTGTTTCTGTTCACACAAGATCTATTAAACATATAGTTTTCCACCAGGTACACCTCTTGTAATGAACTAAATTTAACAATAAGCATTCACCAATTGATAATGAATTTTCAAAGTAGTTGTATATGACTGTCTAAACTGCATCAGATACTTATCACCAAAGTGTCTTTTATAAATATCCCTTCCTACTTAATGATTACATCACTTTAACTCGATCCTCAACATGTACCGATACTCATTCGCCAATCTTTTTAATTAACTGTATAGATTGGTATATCCCCTCACTCCAGTTTCTGTCTAATCAGTGACACATTTTCAAAGTATGTAATATATGCACATCAAGTATATGATGTTTCAAGAGTAATTTTTGCTCAGATATGAATTCAGCAACAAAGACCTAAAATATGTCCATAGGATGTGAATGCCCCATCTAGTGATCTACTAGTACTTTAATTAAAATACAATAATTTTAAAATATGAATGATGATGAAGACTTAACTGTTGTGCAGGAACTACAAGATGGATTTCCCTTCCAACATATCCAATAATTGAAAATATCATTCTTTCATTTAAAATAGCAGCTTGTGATTTGTCATGAAAGTTCAGAAACTTTTGTTAAAAAATCACTGTACCCTTTTATTGGCTCTAAATGATGGAATAATGCCCTCTAGCATACTAAAATGTAGTGGAGCAACTGTCCTCACGCAACTGTCACCATTGCTTGATGACAGATGATTTTCCAAAAAGTACTGACTCTGCAGAATTTATGCATGCACAATTCACTCATCTGTTACATGTATGAGTGTCAAACCTTTACTGTAACATAATGAAAACTGCATGTAGTTGAGGATAGTTATATTTTGAAAAATTTCACCCCCATACAAACTGGATAGTCAACCTTGGATGACTGTCTCAGTTTTCTTGGGAATAATTAAATACATGTCTTAGCCAGTTTCAGTGCAACTAACCTAAATGCAGAATAAGTGAGGTCAAAGTCAACAAAGTGGACAATTAAAGTCAGAATCATAGCAATTTTTTTCATACCAATATATTATCGTAAGTCTGAGAAAAATGTGTCTTCTTTAAGAGTTTCTTTATAACAGAGATGAAAAGGAAAAAGGTGCTTGTGGCTTGGACAATCAAACAGGAATTCCATATGGCAAACACTATAATAATATGCCATGAACACAACAGTATTTAACTAACCAAAGATATATTGATCGGTTGCTATTTTATTTTTTGCAAGTTTAACGACACCACAGCATTTCCCATAAAAGTTCTAAACACCTGCACTAATCACCTGTTCTACATACTGTTTTTACTTGCTTTAGGCCTATAAGCTCCATCGTTATTTTTTTATGGACTTCAACTTTATAAAGCCAGAATTATAATGCAGCTTGCAATTTAGATGGAACTCCTCCAATTTTTCTCTTTTACTCTCAATAAAGAAAAAACAGCTACTTCATAAGCTGACAATTAACTGTGTAAACGGATCAATACCTTAACGTTTACACTGCTGTGAAGTGAACAAGCAGCGGTCACTTCTGTGTTTGGCTTTGATATCTAATAATGAATGCCTATGTTTGTCTTTCAGTCAAAATCCTGTGAGAAAAAAGGTTATTGAACAATGTAAAGAAGTTATCCATTTATGTAAATATACATTGTTTATAATCATGAAGTAAGGAGTAATAGCATGAATATAGTGGGAGGGCAAACTCCTGCAAATCAATGGATATACATAATGCTATCTACATTCTCATTTACCCTGCAACTTTGCATGCATGTATACTAGAGAGATTTTTAGAACTATGAGGTCATTGAGGTGAATGTGCAATATATGGTTCAAACTGTCATGCAATTACATAAAATTTTCAACAAAGCACAAAAAAACAACTCTCTCATTCCAGTTCTAACATTTCTGCAAATGAAACTGACTGTCCAGTGAATGATAAATATCTGGAGAAAGAAAATTAATTTAACATCTTTCACAGGTTGCTGACACCATTTGATACACTACAGCCAAACAATTATCTGAGGATTCAGCCCTACAAATCAGCTCCCACCAGCCAAAATTACTTTTTTTCGCAAAGCGCTAGCTCAAGTACCCCATCATTGGTGATAAGATTTTCTTCCATTCCCCGAGTATTACCTTCGAAGGACTTGAATTTCATTCTCCAGCGATTCTTCCTTGCCTAGAAATCCACATCGATCTATACATTTTATGGCCACTAATTTACCCCTCTCCGATTTGTCGTCTGCTAGCCAAACTTCCGAAAAAGCACCTCTGTAAAAATATGAAAGTTATAACATTATGCTCCAGGTTTTCATAGCAATTAAGTTCTTGTATTTTACAGTTTGAAATGTACTGTGAAATAACTTATTTTCATGGGGGTTTAATTCAAGTTGTTTTCGATATATGATTTTAGTGATCCATGAATTTATGACCACCACGAAATGTAAAATGTCACATACATAACTACTCAACAATTAATTCTACATCCAGATATTAAATCCACAGGATCCAAAATTTTTTTCCTCAAGCCATGAAAATTGCACCCCTCGAAAATAACTGATTTTACAATATCTTTAAGTATTTAGAATTGGCATATTTCTTGAAGTGTGCATCTTGGTGCTTCATGATAAATATCTGCCATGAATTATAGTAGTTCATTTACCTCATTCTCAAAAATTAAATTTATTTATTGTATATGACTGTTTGTTCTCTCCATATTTCATTCATTTAAATTATTTGTTGCTGACACAAATCTATGTCCCTCAATGTTTGACATCAAGTTTGGTACATGCATTTCAATGACAATATTCTTGCTCCTACAGAGTAGTTCATGAGAATATGAACTGTTTCCTTATTTGCAAACAATCTTAATTAATTAAGAAAAGATTATTCAAAAGGGGTGCAAATAAATAACTTCCTGAGCATTATCTCAGTTACCAATATCCAAGGTTATTATGACAACACTACAAATTGTACTCTTATGATTCAAGGATATTTTAATGGAAATGAATCAGTTGGCTTTCTCAATACATGTACTACATGCATATTTTATGCAGCATGTTTTTACTAATGAAAAATACAGTATCGCACGGCATGAACATTTTTACTTTTCATTGATTAAGTTATGCATATCAATATACATGTACAATAAAACTCGGTTATAGTGAAGTCCTGGAGACCTGTGAATTTAATTCGCTATATCCGTAATTCGTTATATCCGTATAACAAATTTGCATAATCATATAGAGCATATTAAATATATGCATGTTTTCCTTCAAGTATTACTGCCAAATGTTGTTTGGGAAGCAAATATTACAAAACATACCTTCGATAACTAAGGTTTTATTATGATTTGAATTTTATATACAAATGCTAAAAAAAAAATAAAGTCAATTTAATTTATCAAATTTTGCGATCTTTGAAAGTTCATTATAAAAGATCATAAAGATGTAAATTTCATTATTATAAACCTCAAAATCAGTTCGCTATATCCGTAAATTCGTAATATCAGAGTTCGATATAACCGTAAATAATCTTACAAAGATTTGTTAAGCATTGTGCCTGGGACCCAGAAAAACTTCACTTTACCCTTGCTAAATCCTTGTTCGTACTAAACGAGTTTTACTGTTTATACTAGAACATTAAGGAAATGTCCCTGAATCAATGCAAAAACATTTTTAGTAATAAGTCTTCTAATTAAGGACATAAACTCATATTTTATTATAAATTAATTAAGCTCTTAAAAAATGCAAGCACAAAATTTGTGATTTCAAGAACTCATACCCCTGCATGACTTTAACTTTAAGATATGACCTTGTGTCATAATTCCTTGCCAATTTAAGTGACCTTGACCTTTAGCACAACACTGAAGATCAAGACACAATTTAATTACGGTTATATGTAACAATTATCTTGTAGTTGAGTCTATCTCTTTAGCCAACATAGGATTTTGTAAAAGGCAGACAACTGTGACTTAAGGGAAGTTTTAAAAAATTGAGTCGTAGATAGATTTAACATTGTCAGCTTAAGGAGACCACATCAGCTGACAGACCCTTATCTACAGTATTGAGACTATAAAGGCATCATGACCTTATCATCTCTCAGTATACCTCATCATTAACTCATTTACTCAAACATTACCCAGGGTGATAAATGTGTATCTGAAATTAATATGCAATTTTTCCTTAAGAACTGCACAGAAAACATTACCAAAGTACAGTTAATGCCAATAATCTCTGATCTGACATCCAATAAATTTCTTCTTGTTTATGTCTTGTGTTTTTCTAGAGTGCTAGGAGACTATCATAATTCACATGCATGAATACTGTTTTTCCACAACTAATGTCAATTACTGACTTTTGTGTGATAATAGTGATATGATATTTTTCCTTTATGCTTCCACATGCAATTTTATGCAATGAAGTTTTTTGTTCTGTACTTTCTAATGCATTGACTGTTTGCTAGTGGAAAATTCTGACTGCAGTAATTAATTTTAATTAAAAGGTTTATTGGTAATGCACAAGACCGTCTCCTAATCTCTTGTCCAATGAAGGAAATGCACCAAGTTAAGTGCAAATGGAACTCTTATTATAATGGCCCCTGGATACGAGTAAATTCTAGAACTCTTGCATTCAATTACCTGTGTCAGTTTAAGTCATAAATCAACCTTCATTTTTAACAGGAAAGAAAGATCGTTACATAAAGGAAATACTTGACTTCATTTTCAAGACATTCTCTGATCCAGTGTTACTGTGATGCACATGCATGGTGGTAGTAGTAGAAGAAAACTATAAAAACTTGAATTACATATCGAGCTGTAGAAAGTTACATCAATTTGATGACACATTGCTGCAGCAGAAAAATTAAAAGTGCCTATTGTTCCACACAAAAGTTAATTACATCAGGATTGTACCAATACGGCTTGGAATCTGAAAGACTTAATCAATGTAGCAAAAAAACTCTTTGGTATTGCATATGACAAAAGAAATCACAATATAGGAATATCTTATTTCATTCTCTTTAGTTTATAAAGAAAAGATGAAGTCAGATACTTGGCAATTTAGGTCTAAATTTAAAAATTGATGAATGAAAGAACAAAAAAAATATTATAGAATAATACCATCAATTTAAGGATTGCAGGTAACATGGCTTCTTTTACTATGGGTGTTCAAGAAAGGACCAGGGATTTGCCTTTACTTGAATGAAATTACGAATTCTAAATTTTTGGGGTAGTTAAATTAAACAAAAAATGAGACATTGCCATTCATTAAAGGGTTTACATGATTACGCAATCAAACACAAGACTCATAAACCAAACATGAAAGTTAGGAAACCCTAATGACAGATACATGTAGGAGGAGAGAAATTATAGGTCCCACATTGGTGACAGTAAATACAAGTATTTTTTAGAGTATCCGGTTTTAACATTTTTTAAGTAGTAGCATATTAATTTGCATGATGCATGAAACTATGGCTAATCTAATTGAATGTATACATATAAAATAAGTGTATTCAAAATTTAGCACAATCACTGGGTATGGACTTGTTGGCGTTTCATGAATTAAATTAGCACTTCAAATGTTCGTGTCCTTTATTGTATATATAAATGATTTCTTAGTGGTATTGATTAATTAGTGCATCACTTTCTGCGCCAAAGGTGCTAAAATATAAAGCCCTCTTTTTCAAATACACGTACATTACCGGTATATATCAGTACATTTAGGGATATTGAGTATATTCATAAATATATGTATCATCTCCAGGCAAATAACCTTGAAGAGTTAGATATTTTAACGCCAATCTTTGAACTGTCTGCTAGACCCCCCAGTCCCATCCTCTTACAGAACATTGACCAGCCGTCTCAGTTTCTTGTTTGACAGGTCAGACCATTACTAGACACAGTTCCAAGACAACTGGGAGTTGCTGAACTTCTATAAATCATTTTGTGGACTTCCATAAACCTGATGCACAAATTATGCAGTGCAGTTGTTTAGTGTTATCATATTAGTTATCCAGGTTCAATCAAGGGTGTATAGGGATTTACCCCAGGTTTTATTCCATACACCCTGAGGCTGAAGAAGGCCTCAGAGTGTATGGAATACAACCCGGGGTAAATCCCCGTACACGAAGGCCTCAGGGTGTATGGAATACAACCCGAGGTAAATCTCCGTACACCCTTGATTGGACCTGGTCACCTGGATAACGAATTTATTTCCTATGCACCCAAATAATATCTTTATAAAACTGTTGTTGTGAGGTGTGTTGTATTTGTATTATTTCATCATGTATATTATTAGTAACATTAAGTTTCTTGAACATTCCAGAGTGGTCAACATGTTCGGTCATTTTTTCTAGAACATTCTTGAACTTTATTCATGTCCAGAACTTTCTCAGGAATATCATGTACTTACAACTTCTAGAATATTCTAGATTTATATTACTGTATAAATATCCTGTCAATTCGATGCATAGAGATACTCTTGTCGTATGAGCACCATTGAGTTACAACTGGGATATAATTTCACTGGGACATTGTGTGCAGCAACGGACACTCTGATGTATGTATTTTTAGATTTTTGCTAAGTTTGTACTTAATGATTTGTATATCACTGTAAATAAATTATTGTTAAGTTTAAACTGTGTGATTGATCTTTGCTGGCATTTAGGGTTATTCTCTCATAACAGAATATGCTTTTTCTAATAATCAATTTCTTGCACTTTTGCAGTTCATTGTCAGAATTTTGTTAATTAAATTGATAAATTTGACTATAAGCCAGCAAAAATCAACATGGTATTTTCGGTCACAAACTTTCTTAGTTCGCCAAGTGTTCAGGTTTTTGATACGTTAAAAAAGGATGACTTGATCGCATTAGGTTTGCATTTTGGGTTAGATGTTAAATCCTCTCAGAGAAAGCAAGACATTAGAATTAAGGTTGCAAACAAACTAGTAGAAGAAAACATCTTTGTGTGATCTTCCAGAATATACAGTTAAAACAGAGTTAGGCTCTTACAAAATGGCAGAATATCAGTTTCAATTAGAGTTAGAGAAATATGCGATTAGAAAGAGAAAAATTAGAAAGAGAAGAGCAGAAAGAGACAGAGAAAGAGAAAGAGAAAGAGAAGAACGAGAGCGTGAACAAATTTGAATTAGACAAATTAGAAAGACAAGAGCACTTTGAGTTAGAGAAATTAAGATTACAGCAGAAACCAGAACCCTCATTTGTCAAGAAAATTTGATGCAGCAAAAAATATTAGGTTAGTTCCGAAATTTC